TTTTAATACCAAAGTGTTCTTTTTTCTTTATTTTTATTTTATTTTTTATTACTTTAAAAATAACACCTATCAAAATTCCCACTTCCTTCCCTCCTCCTACTTCCCTCCTGCTCCCCCCCAACACCCTCCCCCCTCCAGTCCTAAGAGAGGGCAAGGCACCCTGCCCTCTGGGAAGTCCAAAGCTCTCCCCACTACATCAGGCTGAGCATGGTATGCGTCCAAATAGAATAGGATCCCAAAAAGTCAGTACATGCAGTAGAGACAAATCCCAGTGCCATGTCATTGGCCCCTCAGTCTGTGACAACTGTCAACCACATTTAGAGGGTCCAGTTTGATCCCAGGCTCGTTCATTCCCAATCCAGTTGGAGCTGGTGAGCTCCCATTATTAGCTCAGGCACACTGTCTCAGTGGGTGGACCAACCCCTCGTGGTCCTGATTTCCTTGTTCATATTTTCCCTCCTTCTGCTCTTCAACTGGACCTTGGGAGCTCAGTTCAGTGCTCCGATGTGGGTCTCTGTCTCTTCCTCCATCTGTCGTCCGACAAGGGTTCTATGGTGATATTCAAGATTGTCATCAGTCTGATTACAAGGATGGTTGAGATGGAGGAAGGATGGATATGGGAGCAGGGAAGGAGATATCTTAATTGAGGGAGCCATTTTGGGGTTGGCAAGAGGCTTGGCTCTGGAGGGGTTCCCAGGAGTCCAAGGGGAAGACCCCAGCTAGGACCCTGAGCAGTGGAGGAGAGAGTGCCAAACTATTCCTTTAAGTTGGTTTAATGAAATTATTAATATTTATTGAAGGTGTCATCTGTTGAAGTGTTTGCCTATTTTACTTGATTAGAGCTTTTTCTTTCTAACAGCCCCACCATCACCTAACCCCCAAGGCTGTAATCTTGCCCTCTGCTACCTCACCTCCTCTCACCCCTGACCCTGGCAAGCAGAACTTCCTGGGGCCGTGAACTCTGTTAGAGTCAGAGACAGCATACGTGGAAAGTATTGCTAAAAGAAGCCATTGTCAACACTCAGCGTGAAGGACAGTTTGCTCTGGTACAGCCTTCTTTGAGCCGCTGAGCCTCTGTTCAATCAACAGTTATTTATTTGGCTTCGGTTAAGGGCTCAGCAAAGTCCTGTGTGACCTCTGCACACACAGCCAGGCTAGGAGTAGAAAAACCTCAAGTTGTGTCCATTGGGACCTTGAACCAGCTCTCAAGGTTTGAAGAAGTTTGATGGATGACACAGAAGAGTTAAAGTCATCTGAGGACACAGAAATAAAGTCAGTAAGAACTAGTGAGAGAATAGAAAGTACCCAGATAGATTAGAGAAAACAAGGACAGACAGGGAGAGAAATATAGATTCTCCTCTAAACTCAAGTGAGAAACTTCTACAACCAAAACCAAGTCTCTACGCAGTTTCTGTATGTTTGTTTCATTAAACTTATCAATCCAAATACACGCTTACTTGTGTAATTGCTTGGCACTTTACTGTAATCAAAGAACATGTTTGATGATGAAAATTATTTACCAGTATTTTAGGTTAGTCATAACTATATGTGTTTAGAGTGGCATGGCATTTATGTAGAGATATTTAAGACCTAAAATTAGAAATAGGAACTATTGAGTTGTTGGAACTTCTCCATTAGGAAACCGCACCGTCTTATGTAAACACAGTGTTATAACTTGCAGTTTTGTAGTGTGGTGTCATACAGTCATCTCCTTTTTAATTGTCATTCCCATGCTTATTTATAACATGCTTTGATCACATTCATCCTGTTACCTTTTCTTATTCCTCCTTTCCCCCTTCACAGCCCTAATGTCCCCTTTACTTTCAAGTCTCCCCTCCTTCCTCCACACATGAGAGAAAATGTGTCACACTTTGAGAAGGCCTTATGTGACATAACAAAATGATCTTCTATTCCATTAATTTTCTATCGATGGCATAATTTCATTCTCCTTTATGGGAAAATAAAGCTCCACTGTGTATATATGCCACATTTTCTTTAGTAGCTCGTTCATTGATGACGTCTAAGCTGATTTTGTAGCGTGGGTGTTATGACCATCATTGCAATGAACATGGATATGCAGGTCTCTCTGCGGTATGCTGACTTGGACTCTGGGTATATACCCAAGCTGGATGATGTGATAGTTCTAATTTTGTTTTGAGGACCCTCCATGCTGACTTTCACAGTGTCTGGGCTAATTCCCATTTCTACTAGCATGGTCTAAATGTCCCCCTTTACTGCATTTTTGTCAGTCTTTTGTTTTCATGAAATAGATTGATAATTAGTACCATTCACCTGTCGGTTTTATGAGCAGTTCAGATGTGTAGTGTTTACAAGGTATTATCCTCGTAACTTAAGCCCATTTCTGCTTTTCTGCCTTCCTAACCTACGAAATGAACAGTGACTAACTGCATCTTACCTTTGCAGGGCTTCTGAAACTCAAGAGTGCCCCTCCAGTCAAATCTCATAACTTCATGTTTTGCCTATTCTTAACTTGATTTTTGTTTTTTATTTCACTAATGGCGTTGCTTCTTTTTGAGAAGAGCTTGCCATTGTATAAGCTTTTTCTTGTAAGACAGTGAGGGGGACACTTGGGATGCTTCAGGAAGTTTAGAAGGGAAGCTCGGGCCTGGGTGCAGACGAGGAGACAAACTGTATTTTATGGTTCGCTGAGGCTGTGCTGAACTCTGGAATACACGATGAATTCCTAAAATTGTTTATATGAAAGCCCTCTGTTATTGAATCTTTAATAACACTTGATTCTGCTTAGTTTTGACTTTGTGGAGCTTCTCTCTTACCCGTGTGGCTGCATTTGTTGTTGGAGAAGTTTGGAATGCCTGGAGAAAAAGGACAAAGAAATGGACTCACTGATCTTGACACAAATTTTAAAATTTTTCTCCTGAGATCAAACTTTAGACAAAAGGGTTCTTGATGACAGAAATCTAGAGCAGGGTTTCCCACAGTGTTGTGTGATCATCGGACCTCTTGATGATTTTCCCTTTCTGCCTAAAATGCTAGACGGCTTGTGTTTATCTCTGGGTATAAATATCCAAGAAGCTTGGTTTTGAAGCTGCTTTTTTTGAGAGAATCTGAACCCATTAAAAAAAATATATCATTGTTAGGCGGGTGGTAGTGGCACACACCTTTAATCCCAGCACTGGGGAGTCAGAGGCAGGTGGATCTCTGTGAGTTCAAGGCCAGCCTGGTTTTCAGAATGAGTTCCAGGACAGGCTTCAAAGCTGTAGGAAACCGTGCCTCAAAAAACAAACAAAAAATCATTGTTACATTATATATGTACATACATTTATAAACACATCCAACTGGAGATCACTTGATATTGCTCCTATGTGCTTAGGGCTGATCTCCTGAGAGTGGAGAACCTTTCAGGGGTCTTGTCCTTGAAGACTGATTTTCATCACAGCAGGCATTAGTTGCTGCAGTTCTTCTGTAGAAAGAAGCTTTGGAGAATCCCTCATTTACTCTGACATGTCCGTTGGTGCTGTCATTGTTTCGGGTCTTACTTAGGCAACCACATTGTTGCAATTTCAACAGCTTCCCTGTCATTTATAGAAGACACAATATCAACCCTCTAACTCTTAAACTCCCTCCCTCCCCCCTCCCTCCCCGTCCCGTCCCTCCCTCTCTCTCTCCTCTCCTCTCCTCTCCCTCCCCCCCCCATCTCCCTGAGTTTCTTTCCTGAGACATAGGTGGGGATATAGTAAAATGCATCCACTAGGACTAGGCCCTACACAATCAGTTCTTCTCTGTATTTTGACCATTCATGAACCCACTCTTGAAAATAACGGAATCACCCTGGTGTAAGAGGGCCTGGTGACTCAGATGGCCTACACTATAACTGTGCTAGCCTAAGATGGTCCCCCCTACAGGCAAATGTTGGAGAGAGCTATGCAGCTGTGCACAGCAGACTTTAGTCTAGAAGACAGAGCTGTTGTATCCTGGAAACATTTCCTTGTCCTTGTACCCTATGGTGGTCCCTTGATTTCACTAGGCCAGCGGCAGAGCCTCAAGACTCTATATCCAAACAGGGTGGTTTTGTCTTAAATGACTGGTTCCATTTGCCACCAGATGGCACTATAGTATTACCAGGAAATGCACACATGTTAAACCAATGGCGTCATCAACCCGCGGGGAAAAACAAAGCAGCTATCTTTAGAGTGTATAGGACCACAGTTTACCCTTTGTAAGCTTGATCCGAAACAGCTGTGCAGCCAGAGCATCAGCAAGGAAAACAACACAGACCCTGAGAGGTCAGAGTGCTTGCTCCCATTGTGCTCTCTGTTCTAAGTTTTCAAATTGACCTGTGAATAGCGTTGCCGCATTAGCTAGAAAATGGTTAGGACATTTCTCAAGGCTTGGTGTCCGGGCTATAACTGATTCTATACCAACTCTCTACTCATCTCATAGCTGGTAGAAACTTTGGAGTGATTTTGGAAAGGTTTGTATCTGCTGGTTTGAATCTTATTAGCTAGGCTGTGTGTGGGAAGAGAGAGCTCATTCTCAACCGTGATAGCCCTTGCTCGTGCCTCTTGGAACAGACAGGCAAAAATCAAAGGGCATGCATATCCCTGAGTTCAAATGACCTTCCCGAAAGATGAGTGTTCAACACACAACATGTAGGTGGTGCTTCCCATCAGATGTGACAATACACAGTATTTAGGTGACACTTCCTATCAGATGTGAAACTTTGATCCCAACCTCTTGGAGAACGAAAGTTGCAAATGAACCAAATTCTACCACGGGCAGTTTTATTCCCACGCTCTGAAGTTGTTCCTTGTTCCTTATTTTTTTGCCTTCCCTTTAGAATGAGTTGTTGCTCATAACAATCTGTACTTTGTTAGTAATAAGAAAGGATTGGTGTGCGTCTACAAACAAAACTTGTCCTTAGTTCAGAAAATTGTTTAAAACGTTCTCAGGAAATTATTCCTACCAAAAACAAAAACAAAACAAAACAAAAACCTTGCTTCTTGCTTCTTGTTTTGAAGGAAGACTTACCAGTCAATAGACAGGCGGCGTTTACCTTGGAACAACTGGAACACTTGGAGACTTGCCTGAAGGAAGCAGAAGAGAAGGCTAATGCTCTATTGGAACAGGTAATACCTGTCATGGGGACTGGAAAGATCTGCTGCTTGGGCTGCCGGACAGCAAGTTAAATGCTTTAGCCTCTGTCCCATTGACCCAACACAAGTGCATACACACACACACATACACACACACACACATACATATATACATCTACACACATACATACACACACAGGCAAATACATACATACAAATGCAGTCACACACAGACACGTGCACACACACAGACACGCACGCACACACACAGACACCACACACACACACACACACACACACACACACACACATATCTCCTTTGTTTTAGTCTAACAATATGTCCTTTAATTTGTAGAGAGCTTTTTCAGCCTCTAAAGCCTTTTCATTTTCTGCACTTTTGTGCTTTATTTGGTTTTTCACTCACTGCAAGCCCCTCTGGGAGTTGGGTGGGCCTTTCTTAAGTAAGTGGTTTTCCTGAATAAGTAATGGATATTCACATTATAAATAGATAAACTCAGAGGTGAATGAAAACCTAGCAGAACCACACATTTTTCTTGAATCGTTCTAGGAAAATTTGCTCTAGAGAGAGGTCTTCAGATAATGGCTTCCCTCTTGGGTTTTGTAGAATTAAGCAAAGCAGGTCATACGTGGTGTTTAGCTTATGTTGACTGGACATTGTAGAGCAGGTGTTCCCTGTATATGGCAGGCCTTGATTTTAGGGACAGTGGATGTGGCTATCATAAATTCTCAGTTCAGAGCAGGTACCATTTCCTAATGTATCACATTTTGAAAACAAACAAACAAATAAATAAACAATGTAATGTTTGTTGTCGTGAACTTAGAGTGCAAATCTTCCCAGAGCTGGGTCTCCCCACTTGGCACAAGTGACTGGAGAGAAAAGGACAGGGGACCCTGGAGGTTGGAAATCTGTATTAATTCTCATGGCTTGATGGATTTCAATAGACTTGGGGAGACGTTATTTCATGAGGCTTCTAGGTTAACACAGGTACTTACACATCTGAGTCTTACTGGAATGTTTCCAGGGGCTTGTAGGAAGGGAGCGTGTGTGTCATTTCTTCTCATCCTTCAAAGCAAACGTAGTGTCTGGGGGCTGCTCAGGGAGCAGTGACTCAATGTGGTCGAAGCTACGGTTCTTACAGGACTTTGGTCAGTCAGGAGTGGAACTGTGGTGCTCTTTAGGGAAAGTGTCCATCACAGATCCACGCCTTGTCAACTGCTGTTTCCCTAAAACAAACCTCAAACAACAGCAAAGTTATGAATTATATACATAGTAATGACGGGCATGAAAGACTATTTCTAACTCCTCCCCAAGGAAGACCAGGATTCCAGAGAAGTTTTGAATGAGTAACTAATGAAGAATTCCCTGCACTAAGGTGTATGTGTATTTTACAATCATTTGCTTTCTATGACCAGCTCCCTGTACTCTCCGAGACAAGTTGCTGCTGTATAGTCCAAGTGGCCTCAAACTCACAATTTATCCAAGGCTGACCTCAAGTTCATGGTAATCCTTCTGTCTCAGTCTCCTGAATCCTGGGATTAAAAGTGTGTCTCAACACACTCATCTCTGCTTTTTTATTATTAAAATAAGTGAGATTTGATTAATGAATAAAATGTGTTTTATAAAGTATTTTTATTGGACAAAAATGACTCCTAATGCTTGAGCTGGCAACTGAAACATTCCCTTGATACAACACCAAATAATTAGCTGTAGTTTTTCAGCATCTAGAAAATTAAATGGAAGCTAAAATGGACATGATTTCATCTAAATTCTTTTTTCCTATTCAGTAAGAGGCTAGTGAGCTGCTTGGAGAAGAAATGTGTTCCTGGTTCCGAAGTAGCTCACAGAAAATAGAATCAGTGGACAGGTAGTGAGGGGAAATGGGTCCTCTTAGGACTCCGGGTGAGATGCAGGGCAGCATTAACTGTTGCTGTCCTAACATAGCTCTTGACATTTTAGACTTGTATGACAGAGTAGACTTAGCTGGAGTCTGGCAACACTGTGAGGAAAGGAAAGAATGATGTGTAAAACACAGTACAGGGATTTGCAATATTACATTTTTAATTAAGTTGAACATTTTTATTGCATCTGGCTGCCTCTGCCACTGCTGTTGAAACAGATCGATCAAATATAAACACGGCTCTCAAAGGGTTTAATCTGAGATTTTTGGCTTTCTGCTCTAACTTTATCTTTGAAAAAAGAAAGAGCTGTAGTTAGCTGAATTTAGTAATGACCTAGTTGAAGTTGGAATTAGTTTGGGGTGGCTTTTAGGTACTGTAACTTGAAACATGGGAGTTACGGTAATTAAGTGTGCCATACACATTGGCTGTGGAAGAACAGTCATGATCCCACGCGACAGTTAGCTCAGAGGAAGGCAAGCGGATGGCTCAACTTTTCCCAGTTATTGCTTCTGTCCAGTAGAGATGAGGCATAGACAAGACACAGTCAGGGGCCTACAATGGCTTCCATAAAGCAAGGAAAAACTGAAATCAAGACCAATAAAAATCAATAAGACAAAAAAATATCAAAACAAAACAATCTTTACTCTTCCACACACACAGAATACCACAGAGTTAGTGTTCTGTTGGGCGTGGGGTCTGCCCTGGAGTGTGGTTGATATACCCAGTGATGCTCCATTAAAGAAACTCATTTTCCCATTGGAAAAAACTCTTTCTTTTTCCAGATGGTATCGATTGCAAGTAGTTTCTTGGTTGGTGGTGGGATCCTGTATCTATCTCCCATTCAATGATGAGCCCCATCTGACTTGAACCTGTGTAGGTCTTGAGTGTGCTGCTGCAGTCTCTGAGAGTTCATGTGCACATCAGTTCTCTTGAATTGCTGGCCAAAGGGGGACCAGAAGCCCACCCCACCACAAAAAGAAAAGAAAAACAAAACAAAACAAACAAACAAAACGCCATCACGGGCTATTGCCAAGGCTGCTGGTTGCCCTCCAGAGCTTGATGCTAAGGTCCTTTTGCCGAAAATAACCCTCCCAGTTCTTGAGTATGTAAACACAGTCCAATGACACTGAGATGGTTCTCTACCCTGCACTGAATAAGAAGAATTTCTCTTGATTCCTTAGCTGGGGTTTCTAACTTGGAGGCCAGATTGGCAGGCCCTTCCTCCAGGGTTTCTGATTTGCTAGATATGGTGCAGGCCTTAGTCATTTACATTTCTATCCAGACCCCATCTAGTTTCAAGGCAGCTGCTAACCCAGAACTCAAAAGGATTTTCTTCAGTGTTGTCTTGCGCTCTGCAGCTGTGTGGATTGACGCTGTTGCTTTGGATTCAGTTTGAGCGCACAAAGAGATAACCCGGATAAGGTGGATGTTGGCTTTTCCTCACGTGAAATAAGCGTGGCGGTAGGTGCCTGGAGGCCTGAGCTCTTCTCTTTGAATTCACAAATGTGGTGTCAGGTCCTCCAGGACCAAGAGGCCCTGCAACTGTGCTATCTGTCCACATGTCAGGCAGCTCTGGGAGAAGAAGCAACTGCAAGGCAGGGTTGGTTGTTCTTGAGACATCTGTTAATCCTCCGGCATCCATCATGCTTGTATTTGCATTAGAGACGAGAAACACAAGTGATTAGCTGGATACATTATCTCCGCCATAATCGCTGGGATTCTTTCATTAAGAAAGGGAAAATGAATATCAGCACTCTCCGCCTCCGTATTTGACCCGTCGACCGCACTGGTGCATATGCAGAGTTTTGTCCTGGTGGACTCTGTGCTTTTCTGGATAGAGACGCGGCGTTCCCAGCACCTCTTGTTGATGAGTGGACTCTTATCACTCGCTCATCTTGACACCACTGATAAAATCACTAGTTGTCCTAGATGTATTGATTAATTCCTGAACTCTAAATGCTGACCCTTGGGCGCTACCTATGTGACTTGACGCAGGTGCTGCTCCCTGGAAGTCTTAGTCATCAAATTGTTCTGAGAAGATATTTATGCTCTTGGGGCATATTTGGGATATGCTATAGTAGTTCACAGAAGAGTCATGTTTAGGATATACTACAATAGCTCACAGTGGGGACACATTTGGGACATGCTGATAGCTCACAGTGGAGACTCTTTGGGACACGCTGTGATAGCTACAGAGACACATTTGGGATATGATAGCTCACAGCATAGACACATTTGAAACATAGTATGATAGTTCACAGAATAGGAACATTTGGGACATGGTATGCTGAGTTATGCTACGGCAGCTCAGACTAAGACAAGTGAAGCTTTCTGTTTGCTGTTGGGCGCACATACCTGACATAGTAACTGCCCTGCAAAGACACGTTAGCCACTGGATGTCTCTTAAGCATAGAAAAGCCTAGGGAATATAACCAGAAAAAATATTGTCCTGGGAACTCTGTATGCCAGTGTTCAGAGGAAATGTCAGCAAAACAGAGCGCTGTGTCTCCAGCCAGCAGAGAGAGAGTGACACGAACTGAACTCTAGAATACCCAACTTGTTGGTGTTGTGTGACAGCAAAGAGGTAGGCACAGATTCACTGCAATCTTAGTACAGTGTTTTCTTAGACTGAATAAGAAAGTTGAAAGTAACCTGAGGAGGCAAAATGGTAAAGGCAAAAAGGTCCAGTGTCTCCCCTGCTGTCTCTTTATCCCTTCTCCCCGTGATCTCACCCTGATTTTATTTTTTTGCAAGATTCCAATATGGGCTCTAATGGCTTTGAAAGATGCTAAAGTTAAATCAGACAAATTTAGTTAGCTAGTGTGCATGCTTACTCACTTTGGGTTTCCTGTTTGCTGCTCTTCTGCATAGCACTCAACTTCACAGATGTTTACTGAGCACTTTGCTGAAAAGTGGAAACACCGCTTTGAACAGACTGGCAAATTCTCTCACTCAAAGAAGACAGGCAGGGAGGCGCTGAAGCACAGAGCTTCCCCTGCTCTTGGGAATTTGCTGGGCCACACTAAACAAACCTGAGGGGGCAGTGCTGGGTCTTAATTCTGCCTGGGAAGCCTACATGCTGAGATTAACCAGGAGTCTCCTGCCCTTGAGAA